CTTCGTATAATGTATGCTATACGAAGTTATTACGCGACTCGATACGTCGGTTTCATCCACGCTGATACGTAGGAATAGATCAAGACGAGTTGTCGAAAATCGAGTTACCGCCGGAAGGTCTCCTACCAGGGGCATCAGTTACTCTGAATGGGGTATGCCACTACTGGAAAGTATAGAAGGGTAAAATAGAAATGGACTGCTGGAGACGGAGGGCGGTCTGATTACAATCGGTTTGATAGCCTATCCTTGCCGGTTGGAAGTTCCGGTGGGCACACATAGTGGTCCATTCTTGTGAATTAGTCCGATCTCCATCCACTTTCTTCCTTTGCAACTAACTCGACAATATGTCGTGACAGGATCTTGGCACTATTAGAATATTAACAAGAAGTTAATGAAAATTTATCTTATCCACAGATGTCCAATAATTCGTCATATAATTATCTTATTTTAACAACCAAATTTCGATATTTTTTAAAAATAAGATTTAGCTCTAGATAAAATTTGTCTTTTATTTAATATAAAATGTGTTTTATGTTTACTTTTTCATTCTAAGATATTACTTTATAATTTATCGAGTATATCGATTCATATAAATATATATTACGTTATAAACTCCTCTGTCACAATCATTTATTTCTTGAAGTTAACATAGCATACACGTGCAAAATTGTGTGTGTATGTTTAAGTAACAATAAATAATATATTATAAATTTTTATAAATTTTCCATTAAGATCCTCTTTATGCACTAATAATTTTAATGAATACTCCGATACTTGAGCGTTTTTTTTCATCATAAAAAAAGTTTATTTGCCATTGATAAATATTATTAAGATAGAGTTTCACGAAACGTCTTCCTTGATACAGTTCTTTTCATCCACACTGCAGGTTCCTTAGTTGATTAAATTATCCATGCATTTTTCTTGTCTGCTGAATTTTTCAACGAGCGTCGCATTCATACAACTCAAAAAGATTAAAAAGACTGAAATCTTTTCTGTGAATCAAGAAAGATCAAATATCACGTAATTTCACCAAAAGAGATTTTGCAAAGTGGTTTCGGAATCGGTTTGCTTTCAACGTAATTTTACAAAATTCATCAAATTTGATATTATCCGATAGTAAATAGTTGATAAAATCCGATTTCGTAAGGAGAAGGTTTATTGAAATATGGCCCGAGTGAATGCAGAAAAGGTACAGCATGAAAAAGATGCCAGCATTAAAGGATCTCTGATGATGACGTCACGCGTCACGACTCGCCCATCGCCTGGTGGTTAAAACGTGTGGTCTACGGTTTTCAATAAAGTGGGACTAATGGAGCGCCATTTATTATTGCAGCTCTTTCCGTCCCCCTTGCCATCTCTTTTTCCTTCTCTTTTGCATGCCTACCAGTTGACAGAATGATGCTTTCATTTGAAATGAGCGTTACTTCCATCATCAATGTTAGTGACAATGGTAATTTTGACAGCGGATATAAAACATCATTATTATCACGATCGTTATATTGCCACATCTAAATGGTGGTTGGTGCATTATGAAATAAGGTTACTAAAATCATGATAGAAGTAGCACCCGCATGTGCCACGCATGTAAGTATCCCACATTGCATGTTTACGACGTGTGTATGCAAGTTATACGCGAGAAAGTATGCTGAGCTAATAATAAGGGAAGGCCGTTTAATTTTGCATGCAGCGTGTCGCTTGATTTTCTTTACGAAATGAATTCCTTATTTAATACGCGCATAACTGAGAGAAATCTTTTATATACTTTGAATATATCTACAAGTCTGAAAATTACTTATTTTCTGAAAATCACTTATTAGATATTCGAGGATGGACAATTTTAATTATGTGGCATATATAATTTATACAATTTAAATTTCCTATATTAAGGACCATTCAAATAAGTAACATGAATCTTATTAAATAAAAAATTTAATAAAATTATTGATAGACATCTTGATATATTGAAAAGTTATTTGATGATAATAGTTTCTATAAAAGTTTAATAATCAATTTAAATCACATTATTCTTTAATTAGATAGTAAGTCTAATCTTATTATTGTTATATTCTGTCATTAAATCTCTTGATGTGTCTTTAACGTAACATATATATAATATATCTTCTTTCAAATTTAATCTCAATGATAGTAACTGAAAATTGAAATATAGCTTTGTCATCATTCTTTCATTGCATTAGCTATAATTGAAAAAATAAATCCACAATAATATTACTAAAATAAATTTTATTTCAAGATAACATATAACACTTGATAAGATTATTATCATAATAATCTTATAATTTCAAATTTAAAGTACATAAAAAAAAGTCAAGATAGCTTTTTAATAAAATATGATCATTTATACCATATTCAATTTAAATTTATTCATAAAATCGTGGCATCTCTTTTGCGTGACAATTTTACGCTAGTCGGGACGTAAATAGATCCCTCGACAGTTTCGGAGGTAAAAGATGGAGAGAAAATAGGAAAGAAACGAATACGAGCACGGGATCGGGGCACAGTAGTGAGATCCATTGAACCGGGACAATGCGGGGGTGGACATACAAAAGTTCAGGCCACGTCGTAGATCACGAATCGAGCGTGGATGGCCCGTAGATCAAGGATTTCCTTAATTTCGCAGGACAACGGTGAAATGTTGATTTACCGTACCTCGAAACGGGCCGTACGACTTGCACGCATCCCCGTGCAAATATGCCCTGCGGCCGAGGATGGCGCCTGTGCCGCCAATGGAAACCTCTATTAATTCTCCATGCGGCGAAAACCTAGCAGAGTGAACACAATCGAATTTCGGTTTGGATGACCGCTCCGAGAACTGGTGGTATTTTCGTGTGCACGTGCTGCTCATAAGATTTGAACTCAGCTTAGTACTAGAAAATATGAGTCAGCTGATGCGAGCCAGCTGATGCGAATTCTCGTTTGTACACTGCCCGTGCTCGGTTACATTTAATTGCTTTGACTGATGAATGATAGATAATCATCAGGGCTGTCGCCCTGTGTTTCCTGGCATGGTTTGTGCCATTTTCAAATTACATTTCCGAAGTCTGAACGTGTTTAACGAAATTTGAGTAGACTTGCGCATTCAGGGTGAATAATGTTGTTGGCTGCTAATAGCCGAGCAATACTAGATGT